CGCACACGCACACGGACAGACGCACATAATTACACCAGGCACGAATACACACGATTACATGCACACAAATAAAGATATATATCACGAACGTGTATAGGGTGTGAAAAATATTATTTTAAACTGAACATGATATGCATTTTCTCAGGTGTTGAATTTAGACCGTCCAAACTATAAACGAGATGCAGATGAAGAGATGAAAACGTTTCACAAACTCCTTTGCGCGGAACTTCGAAATCCTTTTAATGCCCAGTTTTATTTGGCGTGTGGCGAAATATGCATAATGGCATGAAAAGAGTGGTTTATTAAATTTCTAAGGCGTTTCAGACGCCCTAATTGAAGAAGTTTCCTCAGTAGTTTAGATTGTGTGAGATGAGGCTGAGGTAGCTTTGGTAAAACAAATTCAATATAAATATGTGTGATGTACGATGCACAGTCCAAAAGTAACCAAAATTTATTTTTGTTTGCGTGGTAGAATATATATTATGAAAAGCCCTTTATTTCTGTTCAACCTAGTAACCCCCTCGCGCGACACGTGTGTGTCAACGCTTCACCAATGCATAGATGCCACGGATAAAGAAGTCTCGTGGCTGATTCCGGAGAAAGAAATGCACCGCCTCCTTCAGGTCACCATTTGTATCAAACTTCTGTTCCCCCAAAGCCCGTTTCAGTGATCCGACTTTGTAAAAATCATCCCGTGCGAGGTCTGACAAGTATGGTGGGTGCGGAATGCACTCGAAATGCAGTCCTTTGATTTTTTCCGCTGTCGTGCGTGTCGTGTGCGGGCGCATTGTCGTGCTGAGGCAACACCCCTGAGCTGAGCTAGCCGTAACGCTTTGGCCTGATTGCAGGCTTAAAGTGGTTCTCGAGCTGATTGCGGTATGATGCACTTTTAACACTCAGTCTCTTGGGCATGTTATATTCAACTACTGGAAATTTATGGTCCCCAAAGACAGTGTGCATTAGATTGCCCACCGTTGGCGCTGTCTTGAACTTATTCGGCTTTGGCGACGATCTGTGTCGCCACTTCTTGGATGCTCGCTATGCGTCTGGCTGGGCGTAGTGTACACATCATTCATCACCGGTGATAATGCGTTGAAGAAAAGCATCTTCCTCGGCTTCGTAGCGTCGCAGTAGCGTCTCACAAGCATCCAGACGCCCCCTCCTTAATCTCCAGCGTAAGTTGTTTTGGTATCCACGGGGGGGGGGGGGGGGGGGGGGGTACCTTGTGGCACCACTAGATATCATGAATGATATAGTGCGTCTAGCCATGACTAATATTCAATTCTTCAGCCATTTCATGTTTTCACAGCAGCGATTGCGTTCGGCGTCATTCAAGTGTGAGCCCGACAGGAGAGAGGTGCGTCCGCCGAACGTGACGCTCCACTTCGTTTTGTGCCCCTCGTACATTTGCCGAAGTAATACACAAGTGTCTCCGTACTCTTTCAGCATCCTGCGATGAATATCCGCCGGTTTTTTTGCCTCTGCGTTCAAAACTATGATACCCGTACGCTGTTCTCTCTGGTGCATGCTAACAAGCGGGTGGCCATTTTGAAAGGGCTGTGGTGAGTTGACATTTCCATCAAATCGACAGGCCGGGCTGCACAACTCCCTCTTGTGTTAGGTCAAAGCATATTTGCAGCGCAGCAATCTATCAGTAGATTTTGTTTTCACGGCTAAATAGCGGTTACTTTTTTTACTATTCCTCACGTATTATGTTCTGCGAGTGTTTATATCCGTTGCAGTGGAAAAAAATCTGGTTGTTTGTTCCGTTGCTTCTCCCGACATTTCTTTTGTTTATTTGTAACTGATGTGCAGGTTAAGGATAGCGCATAATATGGGGAGAACTCATGTACAATAGTTGTTACCTGACAATTAAGATAAACTTCATTATTGATTGATAACCTTAGGCTAAAACAGCAAAATTCGAGAATTACACCCGTTTTGCTTATTTGAATAACTCTTTTTTAAATGGTTCATGAAAATACCATAAGTTACAAATATATTATTTAGGACAAAAAGAAAAGCAATGGGCCACGCGTGATACAGCTGCGCTCCAGCTGCATGAGGACACGATGCCTCGCCGGCTCAGTACAGGCAAGAATAAATGACTGCGCCGTAAGGGCGTAATAAAAAGCGGGATCAGGCATATGGCGTGTGTACAATGGAAGTTGGAGCTTCCTGGAACTGACCTCGATACGCGGATACAGTCTCCTATCAGTCGGTCTGCAAACATTCATTTATTTAAAAATACTATCAGTCCCACTTTTTCTAAAGAGTACAATTGGAGTGAGCGAAAAATTAAGAGTGTGGCAGAAACCCTGAGCACACCGAAAACCACATGTGTAAAATGTCAAGGTAAAAACCAAAATTTACACTAGGTCTCTTACTCGTACAGGGCTAAGCACATCCTAAAATCAGACAAATTTTTCCCTCCTCCACTCGTTTGTCAAACAGGCAGCTAAGCCACTTAAGGAAAGAAACAAACAACACTCGGACCTTTTCTTATCCAATGTGAGTGAATTTCTGTTCTCGTATCACACCTTTTGCCATTCCGGTTATCTTGTGTACACGCATACACCTCTTCATTGCATTTAGAAATTATTTCTTTGAAAAATCGCGTGACTAACTTACATATGCGATAAAAATTAGTTGACAGAGGCACTATAGTTTGGGTCATTTGCAGCTGAGACAACTGCATACAAAAGACTTATTAAAATTGAATACAATGAACGAAGTGCTAGTCATAATTGAATATTGTTATACAGATGATGGCGAAAGGCCGGACTGGTTTTACACGTATAAACTAAAAAAAATAGACCAGAACCAACGACCCCTAACAGGAAATTGACTTTTTTTTTAATTTTCATTTACAAACTTGCAAAAGACTTATGGTATTTTTCGTGAGACGTTTTATTACACAATATGAAATTATTGACGCCAAGTTTTGGGAACAAAATAAAACAGAAACGGCGAGAATGTGTAGTGCTTCGTTGTTTTGTGAGAAACGAAGAGCTCTACAATCGCCGACTTTGCAGTACCGAAAACATCCACAGTTTTATTAGTCATCTATGAAGTGACGGAGGCATGGAAATAACAAGTTTAGCTGAGAGTGCTAGGTACCACAAAATGTTGGAAGTGTTCAGAGACGTCCGCGTATATTTCGTCCTATGTAACGAAATCCCTCGTTTCGACTGACAACTCAAAACGCATGAAGTATTAAAAGGTGAAAACTGAATAGTTTAGTCAACTCGTACACCTTCAAAAACAGCAAGAAGCCCGTTCACGTAATCATTTTTTACATCGTCTTCACCCCCATTTTTTTACTGGGAGGGGCAATGATGCCTATATTCATAAATAAGCATTCCTCAGCCTGCTAAATGAATAGTTTCTGCGTGCGGAGAACCTTCCCAAAAAGAAGAATATTCCTGTTTTGACAATCCAGACCTAAATTCGATCCTCTAAGACTATTTCTAAAACTGTATACGTTATTAGGGGTGTAAAAGAACCTTTTCCCAATATATTCTAACTCTATTTTTTAGCTTTTATCCTTTGATGACGACTGAGATTTTGGAGGAAATGTTCCCGATAGGTATGATACACATTTGTTAATAGAACATTTCGTGTGATAAAGCAGCAAGTTGTAATTGTATCCTTTTCTTGTGTGTTGGTTTTTAAATGAAGACGTATTTAAAGCACAGTTTCTGGCGTCCGCTTCGGTCACTCCGGTGGCTACGAGGTGCAGTCTAATTCATGCGGCCGGAGGCAACCGGCAGGACGGCTTTCTGCACCTGAATTTGTGAGTTCGACCTGAACGGCAGTTCGTCTTAAGAAGATTACGTCAAACCCGTCGAGTTATGTTGCGCTTCTACCAAGCTGGAAAAGGACCACAAAAAGAGGGTTTCGGTAATCAACTGCTCTGGGGAAAAAAAAAAAAAAAACACGTTCGCCTTGATGTTGTCCTTCGTCAAGTTTCTTCGACCACCCAACGTCGAATACAAGGTCATCGTCGATGCTGTTAAAAATAACATCAACCCGAATCCGTTCGAACTGTACTGAAGGTATGTCTTCTCGAAAGGTGACCAGCAAGACTGAGTCTGGGGCTGACTACGTCTACGCCTAGCGTAAATTGGCTGAAAACTGCAAGTTGTGCATTCTGGCGTTTCCACTTCACATAATGCCGTACGACCGGCTGTCTTTTGGCATTTGGGACCGCGTTTGCAGCAGGGCCTGCTAGCGCAGAAAAATTTGTCGTTCGAGACAGCGTCCGACTTAGCCGTTAGAGCAGTGACAACTGCAAAGCAGCAACAAGTTATGCGTTGCAAGCAGCAAGGGCAAGAAGATTGCGTAGACGTTGCCGGGAAAGTTGCTCCACCGTACCGCAACGTGAAGCAGCCAGTTGAGGAGCGGGAAGAAAAACCGCCCAGTCAGCGTCTCGACAGGCGTTGTGCGCGATGCTTCGGCAACCGCGAAGCGACACGTTGCAAATTCAAGAATAGTCTTCTTTAGGTGCCCCTGAAAAGGGCACATGTCAAAGTGTGCCTAAGATACAAGAAGAAAACGTAGGTGCCGCATCATTCTGACGACTCAACGAGTTCCGATGAGATGGAGCACGACGGTTTGCACAGCACCCTTCAAGTAAGGATCGGCTGTCTGAAGTACATCGTCACCGTAATTATCGTAGACGAAAACGTGCCCAGGCAGCGAGATTCAGGCGCGGCCCAAGCGATTATTAGTCATAAGCGATTCCAGAAGCTCTAGGGGGCGAAGAGCGTTTTTCTAGAAAGCCCGGACAGGCCACTCGTGACCTGGACCAGGGGGTGTCGTAAAGTCTTGAGAAAAAGCGACAGTGCCTGTTAAGTTCTGGAGTCGCAGTCATCACCTGCCGTTGTTGGTTGTCAAAAATGAAGGCTGCCGCTGGGTCGCGATTTGTTCAATCTACTCGACATCCGATTAAAGGGACTGCCCAGCGTTAGTGCGGGGCAGGACCCCATCGTCGCCATATGGACAAAGGCTTTCGGCGAGTCATTTCCCCGCGCTAACCATCCACCCATTTACAATCAGCCCTAGCCAGACGCCCGGCCGAGATTCCTAAGATGCCGCAGCATTTTGTTCGCTTTCAGAGATGACGTCGTGGACGAACTGGATAAGTTGGAACAGCAACACATACTGCCACCAACCCAGCAGTCCGAATGGACCATACCTGTGCTCGTCGTCCAGAAGAAAAATGGCTCCCAAAGGGCATTTGAGTGATTGAAGCAGTCACTGACGTCCGAATCTCTGCTTGTGCATTTTGGTGGATGCAACTGCCCCCTTGGTGTTGTCGTGCGATCCGTTGCTTTTAGGCGGGGGAGCAGAACTCGCTCATTGCGACCCGGAAAGAGACGAGCAGCCCGTAGTTTACGCGTTCAGAACCTTAACCAAGACAAAAAGGAACTACGTCGAGAGTGACCGAGAGGCACTTGCAATGGTTTTTGGGGCTTATCATTTCTTTTAGTATTTAAATGGCAAACAATTTATAATTCTCTACTGACCACAAACCATTGTTGGGAATTTGTCAACAGCAAAAGCAGATACGTTTAGTGCTTTATTCTGTATGCTGCTGTTGACTTTAATGTTTGCAGCATGCGACTACAAAATTGGTTACAGGAAGGCGGAAGACCACGGCAACGTAGACCTTTTGAGCCGGCTACCATTTCTGGTAACGCGACATGAGACCGAAATATCATGCGATGTCCTTCTGCTGGAAGCGGTGGAATACCCTCTGATTAGAGAGGAGGAAGTTGCACCCTTCACCCAGCGCGACACTCATCTGTCCAAGGTGAAGCAGTGGACCATTGAAGGATGGACCCCTGAAGGGGTAACTGGAGAGTAGGCTGTATATCACTTGAGGAAAGAAAAACTTTCCGTCCATGTGATTGCCTCCTTTGTAAAAAGCAAGTGGTTGTGCCTGTAGCGCTCCGGAGTCAAGTTCTCATTCTTCTGCTCTACAAATTACGCTGGAGTGAGTGCAATAAGAAATATGACGAGATCTTATGTTTGCTAGCCCAAAATGAATGCACAGACTCGAGAATTAACCTGGCCACGCAAGCCGCGTAAAAATAATAGACAGACTGAACCAAAACGCCTGCTCGTGTCCGGGTAAAGCCCGAACGTCACTGGGTCCTCATTCACCTTGACTTCGCAGGGCCTGTCAAGGGCATGTTTCTCTGGTTGTCGTGGACGATAATATAAGATAAGATAAGATAAGAAAAGATAAGATAAGATAAGTTTATTTGATTTCAGAAAAAACTCTCATACAATCCTTCCACGACGTCCACGACGAAGATAATACCGTCTCTTTACTTGTCTAAGGTTATGAAGATGCTACGCCAAATGTTCGCATCCTATGGATCACCAGACTTAGTGGTGTTTGATAATGAAACCGCTTTTGCAAGTGGCGAAATGCAACCTCTTTGAAGTTAAACGGCGTCTGGTGCAGGTATACTGCGCCATACCATCCCTCGAGTAACGCAAGAGCGGAACGCAAAATCCGCGAGCTCAAAGGTGAGCTCAAAAAAGAAATGCGAGGAACTGTTGCCTGCAAAGTACCACGAGTTTTTTGTTTAAGCAGCACTCGACGGCGGGACAAGCTCCGGCAGAAGCTATACTGAGCGGAAACCTGCGCTCTGCTTCGTAAAGACTTTACTCCGACGTATAAAGAGAGGAGAGGTGTCCTATATAGCCCCCTCCACGGAGCTTCCAGTGTGGCGACTCCGTGTACCTACGTAACTTCAGAGAAGGCCCGAAGTAACCAGCTGCTCGTGTGCTTAGGTGTGAGTTGCGTCGGACGGCAGCGTACAGCGACACCACCGTGACCATCTACAGAAAACTTGGGAGTTTTTGTCCTCGACCCAAGCAGGTAGCACTCAGCCGTTTCTTCAGGTTTCCACCTACGCCAGGTGTCGTCCACAGTGGCCCCACCCCAGAACCATTGCAGCCACCACGGCCGCTTCGTCGATCCACCCTTGATCGTCGCTGGGTGCGTCGCTAAGGCATCGATGCAGACTAGGAAGGGGGGGGGGGGAGACTTTGGGAAAGCAGCAAGTTGCAAATGTGTCGTTTTTTTTAGTTGTTGCTGGCTGGCATCTCAGCATCGGCGTCCCGCCTACGCTCCCTCTAATCAAATGCTTCGTTTCTGGAATAAACGTCTTTTTGAAAGTCACTTGCTGGCGTCTACTTCGGTCACTACAGTTTGACTTGAGAGTGCAAAATAAAGAACGTATTTAATAGGTCAATATATACTTTTAAATTGTGAAAGAGTTTTTGTCACGCATTTCTAAAATTCTTCTTAAGTGTGTAGATGTGTTAAAAATTATAAAAAACTCATATTAACCTTTTATTTTTCAAATCAAGCGTCCACAATAAGACCTAAATCATATATGTGTGAGTAAAATGAAAAATGTGTAAAACTATTTCGATACAAAATTTTGGGCCTTTTTTGTTTTAAGGTAAATTAATACCGGAGATATAGCAAAATAATATATTCATTATTTGCTATATCTCAACGGTATTATACACTCTACAAGTGACACGACAAGCGAGCAAAGTTACGAACAATTATTAACATATAATGCAAAAGAATCAACTTTTGTGTTTAGTTTTTTTTTCTTTATTGAAAATGTTACAAAAATTAGGTTCTTGAAATAAAACTTATAAACGTGCTCGGTCTAAATATGCATACTGTACTGGTATATGTAGCTTTTTAATAGGATAAGAGAAACTAACAAAGTTTAAAAAATGTAATGCTTTCAGGAACAGAACTCGATATAGTCTTCTGAAACAGGCAATACGTGTACTAAAAAAAGTCCTGGAAACAAAATTGATAATTAATTTTTCGATAGTCATTTACTGCACTTTAAATTCAATAAATGCTAAAATAAATAAATTTTTATTTTTATAAGCTTTTATGAGCATATGAGCAGAGCCGGGCCAGTTACTTGACAAATGTAATAATTACAATGATAAAATTGCGAGCCGCGGTGTAATAATTATCCTTTTAAATTACTTTCGGAAAAAAAAGGATTTCTTTAATCGTACCGTTACAAATTATTTTCACGTTACATTCCCATACACGCATCAAGCAAACAATAAAAACACAAGTATGATGAACTCAAAAATGTGCTGCAACACTCTGCATTTCTCATACGCCAGCACTATGGTAGCCGATGTAAAAACCAAACATTGTATGTACGTGAAAGAATGCAAGTGTGCTCCGTTCACCAGTAAGCTGACAAGGCAGCGAAAGCTGCAACCCCACCCGCCATCCCACTTGCTTACGGCGACCGGAAATGATCCCTGGAATTTCGCACACAAAGCTAACGGTGCGCATGCCGAGTAGCAGTCGATCTGAACTAGGAGATTCGGAGGTAAAGAACCGATTAACGAAAGCTGCCTTTTAAAACGGCCCTTTGAAGCATGAGCTTTACGTTTCAAAGCTGCGGCCTCACGGCTGTAGATTTCACGCACTTTCAGCTTAAGGATGAACGGAGCATTGATATTTTTGCTGTTTAAAAACATGAACTGCTTCCGGCATCCCAAGCGACTTCCGGTCACTACTTGTTTGCATACCTGTCGAGCGTGCTATGTCATTGGACCAAGGAAGCATAAATGCTAGAGGTACATCAAAGTTGGAGATTTAACAAGGGCCCTCGGCTGGACTATTTAACGTCTCGGAGGAGGCAAGTTGGTTACAAGAATATTCGAAATTTGTTAGCAGATCTCACTTTTCGTTCTCTCGGCGTTCAACTGGATAACTGGTGGTTAAACGTTTCATCGACATTTCAATGAGCGGTGTTAGGGTGGACTTTGTTCATTATTTTGATGAACCGAAACTCTAATTTGGGCTATGTTTGTTAGTGTATTTAGGAAAGTAACCTTTCCTAAATACTCTAAAATCTTTTTTTGATAAAGCTATTGAAGGTGTTTTCACACATAACCAATCCAGCGTAACAATGTTCGCGTTTTCTATGATTTCTCTAGAGGGCTTGTGTGTTAGCACACCATCGAAAGTTTTATGAAAAAAGTTACCTAGCTATATCAGCTGTAGCTTGAATTGGTTATTTATATATAACAGCAAAAAGAAGATGAAGCTCAATACAAAAACGAAAGTTGCGAGTCAGTGCAGTGTAAGATTATTTCATTTTGTTAGTGAACTTGTGAAGTATGTCTTTTCTCGTGCGCTGTGAAGTGTAAGCACGAAACACCACATCGCCCAAGCGGAAGTGTGCAACCGTGCGCGTCTCTTCCTCAGGGCGGGAACGAACAAACAGTGTGAACCAATCAAAAAAAAAAAATCTTTCTCAGTTAAAAAAATAATTAAATAAATAGAAAAAAAGATGCGACATATTTCTATCTTTTTTTTTTTTTTGCTATATATTATCAAACTCGAAAGACATGCGAACAGTGATGGAACTTCCAGCGCACTACCGGCGCCGAGTAGAAGCTTTGGTTATAGTAGGTGGGGCTTAAACACATCGGAGTAAGAATCGCGCCCTCGCGGGGCACCCTACCCTCCTTCCCCAGTTTCATCAGTTAAGATGTGTATTCAGAAGGCGCAGCCTCGGTCGACGGCCACGCGCTCTAGTGTCCGCAATCCACTTGAGCCCGATAGTAGAATACTTACTTATGCATATTTAGACAAAACACCTTGGTTTTCTTCTTTTTATGACTGATATCTCTGCAATCTGTTCAATGCTAAATAATGCCGCGCGCATTGCCGAGCGAGCGCGTGGCCGAATGGTTACCACGCTTGGTTATCAGGCGGAAGCTCCGGGCTCTCGTAAGTTAGAGAGCCTTGTCGTCTGATCGAGTTAGGAGTGTTTAATACGCCGAACGTGCCACGCCGAATGTTTTAGAAACCCACACGGATACAAAGGGTGTTTCGCGTGGTGGTCCGGGGTCAGTTTCGCCCCTGCGTTGGATCCTGCTTTTACGCCGATTTCGACGCCCGCGACGCTCTGTTGTTATCTTCTGTCCACTTTTTGTTTTGGCCACAAGTTCGCCCCATTAAACGTTTAATTTTTCCCATATATTTTTTGTTATGTCACGTCGTCATTCGTGCCGTTTTGGTGCAGCTACAGGGTACAAACCATGCAGCGCAACCTTCCGAGGGCCCGCACAGTTAGCCCACTCCCCAGCGAAAGGATACTTTTTGAGGAGGAAGCAGCAGCAAGAGCAAGGTGCCTCATTGAAGGGAAGCCCGCGGATA